AATAACTCGCCAGCCCTATGCAAATTAGCCATGTAAATGGCTGTCGCCAGCCCTAGTCAAACAGCTGATATGCAAAATAAAATTAAAAACATTGCGTTAGTTAGTCCCATCTTCGACGCGTTTGCACACGTTGCACTTTTATAGGCCCAGTGAAGAGAAAGCGCTGCGATATATCCACCAACATCAATTTGATATGTTCAGAAGCAAAACACTCCATCTCTGGATACGAAGCACTTTGACAGCGGCAAGGAATTTTCACGCGTTCAAATCCACAGCAGGAGGCGTTGGGCCCCAGACGCCACAAAACCTGTTCCAGCGTAGTTGGCGTAGTCCTATCGAGTAAGAGAGCAAATAATTGACATAATTGCAAGTAGCAAATCGAGTTCCTTATTTTATTTGTTCATCAAACAGTTCGGTGGTTAGCCAAGATTATCGTGGAATGGCGAGTGGAGGGGAAACTAAATCGGAGCCGCCAAAGGCTCCAGGCAATCGATTGCTCTCTTCCAAATCTCCTTACCTATTGCAACATGCGCATAATCCAGTGGACTGGTGAGTAAACTCTGAAACGACAAGGCGCTGGCATAACTTCGCACTTTTCAGGTATCCCTGGGGCGAGGAGGCCTTTGAGCGTGCTCGCACCGAGAATAAGTTGATCTTTCTGTCTGTGGGCTACTCAACCTGTCACTGGTGCCATGTCATGGAACACGAATCGTTTGAGAATCCCGAGACAGCGGCAGTTATGAATGAACATTTTGTGAACATCAAAGTGGATCGCGAGGAGCGTCCCGACATTGACAAGATCTACATGACGTTCCTGCGGATGTCCAAGGGCGGCGGTGGCTGGCCCATGAGCATCTGGCTGACACCCGACTTGGCGCCACTTACCGCTGGCACCTACTTCCCTCCAACAAGCCGCTATGGCATGCCCTCGTTCGAAACTGTCCTCCTGGCCATAGCCAAGCAATGGCAGACGAATCGTCAAACGCTTATGGAGTCGGGCTCCTCTATTCTCAATGCTTTGAAGACAAACGAAGATGTATCCGCTGTGGCAGAGGCTGCCTTTGAGCCTGGCAGCGCCGACGCCAAGCTGGCGGAAGCCATCGGTGTGCACAAACAGCGGTTCGACCAAACGAACGGTGGCTTCGGTTCGGAGCCAAAGTTTCCCGAGGTGCCTCGCCTCAACTTCCTCTTCCATGCCTATCTGGTGAGCAAGGATGTGGACGTGCTGGACATGGTGCTGCAGACACTGGATCACATTGGTCGCGGCGGCATCAACGATCACATCTTTGGCGGCTTTGCGCGCTATGCCACAACCAAGGATTGGCACAACGTGCACTTCGAGAAGATGCTCTATGACCAGGCCCAGCTGATGGCCGCCTATTCCAATGGCTACAAGCTGACGAAGAGCGCCTCCTTCCTGACTTATGCAGACAATATCTACAAGTATATAATGAAGGACTTGCGCCATCCCCTGGGTGGCTTCTATGCTGGCGAGGATGCCGACTCATTGCCCACTCACAAAGACACCATCAAGGTGGAGGGAGCCTTCTATGCCTGGACCTGGGCTGAAATTGAAGCTGCCTTCAAGGAGCAGGCCAAGCGTTTCGACGACGATGTCTCGCCTAAGCGCGCCTTCGAGATCTATGCCTTCCATTACGGTCTCAAGCCGCAGGGCAATGTCCCGACCTACAGTGATCCCCACGGCCATCTAACCGGCAAGAATATACTCATTGTGCGTGGTTCGGATGAGGACACCTGCTCCAACTTTGACCTGCTGCCGGCGAAACTTGACAAGCTGCTGGAGACGGCAAATGACATTCTGCACGTGCTGCGGGATCAGAGGCCACGACCGCATCTGGATACCAAGATTATTTGTGCATGGAATGGCCTAATGCTGTCGGGTCTCTCGAAGCTGGCCAATTGTGGCACAGCCAAGCGGGAGGAGTACATGAAGGCGGCCAAGGAGCTCTTGGACTTTCTGCGCAAGGAGATGTACGATCCGGAACAAAAGCTGCTGCTACGCTCGTGCTATGGCGTAGCTGTGGGGGATCCAACCCTGGAGAAGATGGAGTAGGTTCTTAACCAAATTATTTAGTCATGCATAATTATTTCCCACCTTTCAGCTCCCAAATCGATGGCTTCCTGGACGACTACGCTTTTCTCATCAAGGGCCTCCTCGACTATTACAAGTCGTCGCTGGATCTCAGTGCCTTGCGCTGGGCCAAAGAACTGCAGGAGACCCAGGATAAACTGTTCTGGGACGAACAGAATGGTGCCTACTTCTTCTCGCAACAGAATGCCCCCAATGTGATTGTGCGGCTAAAGGAGGGTGACGACGGAGCTGAGCCCTGCGGCAACAGTGTCGCTGCACGCAATCTGACACTCCTCTCGCACTACTACGATGAGGAGACCTACCTACAGCGAGCCACCAAGTTGTTGAATTTCTTTGCCGACGTCTCGCCCTTTGGCTATGCTCTTCCCGAGATGCTCTCGGCCCTGCTGCTGCACGAAAACGGGCTGGATCTGGTGGCCGTGGTGGGGCCCGACTCGGACGACACCAACCGCTTCGTGGAAATATGTCGTAAGTTTTTCATACCAGGCATGATTATCCTGCACGTGGATCCACTCCATCCCGACGACGCCTGCAATCAGCGGGTGCAGAAGAAATTCAAGATGGTAAATGGCAAGACCACAGTTTACATTTGCCACGACCGCGTCTGCCGCATGCCGGTCACAGATCCCACGCAGCTAGAGGAGAACCTAATGGCCAACTTCTTCACCGAACGCGTCTAAACATGGGAGATTACTCGATTTAGTTATAAGAAGCTCCGCTGAATGTTATTATTAGTTATGTTATTTTTTTGTCGCTTACAAAGCGCAAAGACGGTTCTCGGAACTTTTTTTTGTAGACACATTCACAGTCTATTGTGCCCAAGAAAAGAAATGCCCCACAGGGTTGGGGGGTGAGGACGAGGGCAAGTTAAATTCTTCTCTTCTCTTCTCAAATACATGCAACACATTTTGTGCTTTTATTGGAATCGTTCTGTCTGTTACTTGAAGCACAACATGAGTGCAGCCGTCCGGCTGCTTCAGCTCCTGCTCCGCCCTAGAGGCGTAAAAACTAAGCTAAACTAAATGCTCTGCCCAGCGTTGCGTCCTCCCGTCTGAGTCGGAAGGGGACTCAGAGTCACGAGGACGCGACGGCATTTGAAGGGCGTTGAAGGGAACTAAATGTATGGAGAGAACAGTTCGGTAATAATAATCGTAATAATAGTAGTGTGTAGTAATAAAAATAATTTAGTTGAAATTCACATTCATCACATTGGTTGGCCAACCATCTCTGCCAAGCGCGTGCCTCTGATGGAGCTCGCCGATGCGTCCGTTGCCTCTCAGGTGTCCGCATCGTTGAAGCTCATGGCCGCATCGAAGCTGTCGACGATGGTCTCCATGCGCTCGTGGTGCTCGAATCGGGCGAACTTGCGCTCCATGCGGGTGTAAGAGTGTCGTCGGGAGTGCCGTGTTCGCCTGAAGAAACGGAATCGCGTGTCCTCCTCCTCCTCGTCGTACTCCGGCGCCGATACAGAGTCCTCGTCCGTTTCGCGCAGGAAGTCCTTGGGATCGCGGTGAATCTTAAAGATTTTCGTCGCTGTCGCCGTCGCTCCATGCAGCTTCGATATGGTGCGCGATGCATTAATGATGCCACGATCCGCCAGCTGCAGCTGCTTGGAGCGATTCTTGATGGCCGTGAGGCGATTCGTGATGGACACAACGTTGAAGAGCTTAGACAGTTCAGAGTCGACGCATCGCGACTCCCGACGCAGGTTCTTGCCGTTTTTCACATAGATAAAATGTTGATTCAGTTGAGTGTCGGCCGTAAGACCGGCCGAGCAGGTGGGCGAGCTGGAACTGCAATTTCCATTGCTATTGCTATTGTTGCTGTTGGCACTGGTCAGCAGTGTAGGTGTGGAGGGCGGCGCTGGTGGTGGGACGTGGGGCATTGTGTAGCAGCGCTGACGTCCCGGTCCCGCTGAAAGCCCAAACCCAGGACCTGGTCCCGTAACGGGTCCATCGTACAGGTTCGTCACATTGTACCGGCTCAGTCGGCACGATGGCTCCGGCTCGATTTCTCCATCCTGGTCGTGCTCCCTACTACTGGGCATGTCCATAGCCTGCTTTCCGTGGGCAGGCAGAAATTTTGTGTTTGTATGTGTGTTTTTTGCGAGTGGGTGGAGACGGAAGGCGACGGGGCAAAAAGTAAGGGCGTTGTAGCAACCATAACATTCAGAAAACGCAGCCACTACAGCGGTCGCAAGTCGCGCAAATTATTTACCTGCAGCAAGCCCTCAACCTCCATGTATTGGCTCTCCGTTAGACGGTGTGTTTTGTGCATTCAGTTGTTGATATTCAGGTATATTGATTGGTATGAAATTATTATTATTGCCCAGAAAGTAGGGCTGCAAAACCATCGATGTCACTATCGATAATGTCGATGGTTTTGGAAACGAGAGATAGTTCGTGGAATATCTATATATCGATTCCGAGAAAAATATGATTACGAAGTTGAATATACAGTAATTAAAAGACTTTGGAAAACTAGATGATGTAATGGAAAAAAAACCCTGCCAGAAAGCAGTCAATATAGGTGCTCAGTTCAGCTGTCGTGCGTTTGCTATCGATATCGAAATTAACACTGCTGAATCAGCGTTTTCATTGGAAAAAATTTCCGTTATTTACCTTTTTTAAACAAATAAACAAGCAGAATATTCTACATTCCACAGACTTGTTACTCAATCAGTGCCGCTTCATTCATGGGAAATGCTGGAAATATAATACTCTGTTGAAAGAGTCATGTGAGACACCCCTCGACTCTACCCAATCCCATTGAATAAATAAATACACAATTTATCACATGTGGTTTTGTAGGTTTCAGTTTAGTTGTTTTCTGGTTTCAGTCTTTTGTATAATTTATGTTTTTTTGTTTTCAAATCAGACACTTGTGGTCGTCAATAAGCCCCCAGCTTTTAGGACAAATTGAATATCATTTGTGTTGACAATATTCGTCATGTCCCTCGAGGAATGCGAGCCAGTCTCGTGGAGCGTTTTGAGGCCATTCTCCAGCAGTTGGCGCGCCCACAAGTTTGGCCACCATTGTGAGATATCTAATTGGATGGCACTACGCGCCTATTGATTCTGCACAAGAGTCTGGTTTTTCAAAGATTGTGGAGCTGGGGGAGTCGGTGCCGGCCGGAGATGCGCGACAACGACGATTCCCAGCTCGCGTGTGTGTGTGTGTGTTTGGAATGGCGTGCCTAAATGCTTGCCGCGGAATCGCAGGGGTTAAAGCCCAGAACCCGTAATCCCGAATTTGACAATTTGGCGTGCCAACCGCAGGAATGGCGAATCGGGAGCCATAGTAGTGCGATGTACGATGTAAAAAATAGTTTGACATAGTCAAAAAAAAGATTTGGTTTCAAATTTCAAAAGAAATTTGTAGTTTTGCCCGGATCGTACCCGCTGTAGCTCCTATCGCACCAGAAGCATCACCTTTGGCAGCAACCACAAGCAGGACGCAGCCGAGGCCACGTCCAGCATGGAGTCGCCACCCTGGGCCAGCGACAGCAACGTGCAAAAGGATCTAAGTGAGCACTACCCGGACGGGGGGTTTTTTGCCTCCTTCACCAAGGACCAAGCACAGACCCGAAGCAACGCAAACAGCGGACAAAAACAGTGGCCTCTGCAGTATGGTGTATACAGAGGTCACCATTTAAGCCACATACACGTTGCTTCTTGGCTGACAGGCACAAGGTCAAGGCGGCGTTTGTTGAGCTCTACCAGGGGGGGACAAGATCGGATCCCGCAACATCTATTCGGAGCTTCGGTCGCAACTACAAATGCAGAGCCAAAGCCAGGTGTAGATGCTCAGGGCTTTCGCCTTGGACATCCAACCAGCGTTTGGCCATGAATTGCATCTGCGATTCAAAGCATCAAAACTGGAGACGAAATGCGTGATCCTCTGCCGTCCTCGCCTGGCAGCGCTCGATGGTGGTTCTAGTTTGTAGTTTCAATGGTTTCGAATAAATTCGATGAATTCAGGAGTTGGCGTTCGGAGCCAAAATAGCCGCAGGGCAGCGTGAAAGTGAATGTTCTGAGACGGCGCCATTCATGATCGGAGAAATGCCCTCGAAGGGATTGCAGTGGCCACCAATTATCGGCCGCAATCGCTAAAAGAGCAAAACTCGTCACACAAATAGCGGAATTTTTGTTGAGAGAGGGATAGAAGCTTTCCTCTGCTTACCGGCATGCCGTTTGATTGAGAGTGTGTCTGTGTTTGTGTTTATGTGTGTGCGATAGTAAAAGAGTTGAACTAGCTGTGGGTAAAAGCTTTCTCGACTTTTAAAACTTCTTCTTCTCCTTCGCTGTTGCTGTTGTTGGGGCATGGCACTCTCTCAAAGCGCACGGTGGCCAGCGTGGCGGTGAAAAGTTCTAGAGTGTGCGGGGTGTGGGGCGGAATGCTGCTGACGGTGATGATGTCACTCCGTCGTCGTCCCCACCCCACGTTATATGTGTGTGTTTTGTGGCTTATTCCTCTAAGTGTTCCTCGTCGCGGTTGTTCTTGCGCTTGCGACAAGCCCCGAACGTGTGACCCCGGAAGTTGCAGAAGGTGCAACGGGTGGTGCGGCGGGAGCCACGTTGGTTCTTGGTTGCCGCCAGATCCTCGTCCTCCTGGTTGTTGTGCTCGATGATGCGGCCCTGCTCCAGCAGCTCCTTGAACGTCTTCACGTTCTGGCGTGTGATGTGTTTGCGGTACTTGATGTTCAGCAGGCCATAGAGGAAGTCCAGTTCGGTCTCCTCGTCGTGGCGATCGGCTGGCAGCTGAGCGAGCAGGGCACGCTTGTGGACCAGGAAAGAATCGATGGGATCAGTATCGTCCTGCTTCTTCTGGAAGATCTCCATGTACACCTGATAAGCGGGCTTGGTGGGCGAGAAGTGCTCGCGGATAAGCCCGATGACGTCATTCCAGGTGACAACCTCTTTGCGCACGCCCTGCCACCAGGTGGAGGCGAGTCCTTGGAACAACAGCGACAAACCCTTCAGGGCGTTCTCGTCGCTAATGTTTTCCAGCTCCTTGTAGGTGACAATGTTGGAAATGAATGCCTCGACCTCATCGTAGTCACGTGTTCCGTCAAAACGATGTGTGCAGGCAGCGAAGCTGCCCTTGACCGTGGCATTACCTCCTCCGGCACCGCCGGTGGCGCCACTCACTCCGGATGCGCGCACGGCTGCGATGAGCTCTTGCAGCTGCTCCTGGGTCATCTGTATGGTTTGCGCCATTTTGATCTGTGTTCTGTGGTGTTGCTTCTGTTGCAAGTTACTTTCGTGAGGAATTAAGCGAAAACACTTTGCTTGTTAATGTATTTTGTTCTTATGTTGTGGGGACGGCGCACAAAGCCAGTGGGTCTGAGCGAATGTTGCCGTTTGGGTCGAGTGATGACTGAATTTTTCAGGCCACTTGGGATCCATTTATAGCGGACCGTTGTGAAATAAAAGTTCGAACATAGTTCGAAAAGACAGAGAGAGAGGAGTTCGTTCGAAAGAGAGCCCGCGCCCAGCAATTGTTTTTGCTTTGTGGTCGATGATTCATTTGGCGGACTTATAATAGAGGCGTTTTTAAAGCCGGTTGTTAGTACAAAAACAAAACTGATTGATAGTAAACATTTACTACATGGTATGCACATATGTATATACAATACATATGTGGATCATATTTGACATACCATGTACATTCTGCAACTGCACTAAGTATGTATGTATGTATGCTATTGCACGCATTTGCGAAATTCGGCATGATTAATTTGCATTTTCTTGTACGTTGGCCCTAGCTGTGAGTCAGAATAGTTTGTATCGAAAAGTTTAATGAGCTTTCTGCATTTTTGTAAAAATCGTATGACCCATGATAATGATCTCAGACATAATATATCAATTATTTTCCATTGTTGCAGACATTCCAATTAGTTAAAGTACAAATGCATGACACTTTGTCGCCATGTATTCAATTTAATTTAACCTGATAAAAGGTGCGATAGGGAAAGTGAACCCCCCACAAACTTTTTTTAGTTCCCCCCCACATTTAGTTCAAGAGAGACAGAGATAAATAAACTAAATTCGAAAATGGCAAGATACAACAATTGCAGGTATGCGATACTCAGAAGAAACTCATGCTGGCAACAGCTAAGGCCACCGAAGAGGGAATGGCAATACCCTACATAGTAATTTGGTGTGGGAATTTCGAAAAAGCTCCCCCCAGCTGCTGATAAATTCGCCCGAGAAACTGTTGAGTAGGCAAAAACAAAACCGTCGCCAGCTGCCAGTCGCTCCACAAAACGCCGTTTCTTTGTTATTCTTAGTTTTCAGTCGAAGTGGAGTAGAAAATATCAAATTTTGGGGCAAAATGACGCAGATGTCGGATGAACAATTTCGCATACTCATCGAAACGATACGAGCCCTGGCACCCATCAAAGACGATGAGCCGCAATCGAAGGGGAGCTTCAGCAACTGCCCCGTCCGCTTCAGTGGGCAGCGTGATCATGATGCCGTGGATGAGTTTATAACGGCGGTGGAGACGTATAAGGAGGTGGAGGGAATCAGCGATCGGGACGCCCTGAAGGGACTGCCGCTTCTGTTCAACAACATCGCCGTGGTCTGGTGGAAGGGGGTGCGACGGGATGCCAAAACATGGCCGGATGCAATGCAGCTGCTGCGGGACCACTTCTCGCCCACCAAGCCATCCTATCAAATCTACATGGAAATCTTTGAGACAAAGCAGGGAGGAGGTGAAGTCATAGATTCGTTCATCTGCAAGCAGCGCGCGCTCTTGGCCAAGCTACCAGACGGCCGGCACGACGAGGAAACAGAGCTGGACTTCATCTACGGCCTGATGCAGCCCAAGTACAGGGAGAGTATTCCAAGACATGAAATTAAGAGCTTTCGGGAATTGTTGGACCGGGGACGCACTGTGGAGCGTACCAGGCACTGAGGAATGCTGTAAATAGTTGTAAATCGTATAAATAAAGTAGGATAATAAATTAAAATGCATAAATGTTTGTTTATTCGACTCATTTGCAAACACGACTGGTGGTGTTATATATCGCACAAAAGTATCGATATTTTTTCTAAGGCCAAATTTGTGCTTAAAAAAGTCTGTATATCTCTTAAAACGACAGCAAACAGCAAAATCATAGTGTAGATTGGTTCTGAAATCGTTAATATAGCACCGATTATGAATTACATTAGAAAAAATAATTTCACCACTCCAGAAAACCATCACCCACAAATATATCGACAAAGGTAGCACGTCGATACATTGATACATCATATGTTCAACATCTCTATTCACATTTTTTCTGAGGTGCGTGAATTGCAAAGTATTTTGCGTTTTTGCGGCTGCCCAGAGGAAGAAATTGCCGGTGGACGAAGCTCTGTGGTTGAGGCATCTGTGAAAATGATATTGAACACACCCAATGATGATAAAAAACGCATTCCCTGCATTTACAGATTGCGGTCAAGTCTTGGCGTCGGCTTCAGAGTTTTCTGATGTGAAATCGCTGCGCACTGAGCAGACATAATGACCACGAGCAGCGAGGATGTGTTGCTGCAGATGGGCGAGGTGCGGTATAAGAAGGGTGATGGCACCCTGTACGTGATGAACGAGCGTCTGGCGTGGATGGCCGAGCACCGAGACACGGTGACCGTGTCTCACCGCTATGCCGATATCAAAAGTATGCTCGTCCAGATCGCGTTTGATGCCAGAGAAACTAAACTCTGCCGTTCTCCCTCTCACCCGTGCAGCGCAGAAAATCTCGCCCGAAGGCAAGCCAAAGGTGCAGCTACAGGTGGTGCTCCACGATGGCAACACCTCGACCTTTCACTTTGTCAATCGCCAGGGCATGCCCGCAATGCTGGCCGATCGCGATAAGGTCAAGGAGCTGCTCCAGCAACTGCTGCCCAACTTCAAGCGCAAGGTAGACAAAGATCTAGAGGACAAGAACCGAGTCCTCATGGAGAATCCCAACCTTCTTCAGCTGTACAAAGATTTGGTCATTACAAAAGTTCTCACCAGCGATGAGTTCTGGTCCACGCACGCCAAAGACCATGCGCTCAAAAAGATGGGCAAGTCCCAGGAAATCGGTGAGTGATCCGGCAGGGAGGGCTCTCATCCACAAATATTTATCATTTTTTCCCCACGATTTTCTGTAGGTGTCTCTGGCGCATTTCTGGCTGACATAAAGCCCCAAACGGATGGATGCAACGGCCTGAAGTACAACCTCACATCCGATGTCATCCACTGCATTTTCAAGACATATCCCGCCGTCAAGCGCAAGCACATGGAGAACGTGCCCAACAAGATGCCCGAATCGGAGTTCTGGACAAAGTTCTTCCAATCGCATTACTTTCATCGCGATCGCCTCACCGCCGGCACCAAGGACATCTTCACCGAATGCGGCAAGATCGACGATCAGGCGCTTAAGGCAGCGGTGCAGAAGGGCGCTGGCGATCCACTGTTGGATCTGAAGAAGTTCGAGGACGTACCGCTGGAGGAGGGCTTTGGCAGCGTGGCCGGCGATCGCAATGTGGTCAACAGTGGCAACATTGTCCACCAGAACATGATCAAGAGATTCAACCAGCATTCCATAATGGTGCTCAAGACTTGTGCCAATGTCAACTTTGCGCCCTCCACCATGACCAACGGCGCCAACAAGGCCACTGGACCAGTATCGCAATCGGCGTACACAAACGGCTTCAATGGAAAGGCCTCATCCACGGCAACAGCAACAGCGACCTCAGGCAAGTCACAGCCCACCGATGCACCAATGGAAAGCGATGAGCCAAATGCGAAGAAGCAGCGTTTGATTGAGAAGATCCACTACGAAGACCTGGGCGATCCCATGACCGAGGTGAACGACGAGTCGTCCAATGGCGACGTGGGCCAGCCCAAGCAGTTTGAGCTCTCCAAGGTGGAGCGCTACCTCAACGGACCCGTCCAGCACGGCATGTACGAGAACCACAGCGAAAAGTTCAGCCTGGAGGATGTGCAGGACAAACTGGTGCGCAACTCCGAGTCCTGGCTGAATCGCAGCGTACAGCGCGGCGTCATCTGCCCCAAGGCGGCGGTGAATGCTCTCGGAGAGCTAAGTCCAGGCGGCACCTTGATGCGTGGCTTTCAAGAGCAGTCGGCAGGACGTAAGTTGGCACTGCATTTAAGTTGTAAACGATTTTAATTGATTTCTTTATGCCTGAACAGAGCTGGTGCCCAGCGACTTTCAGCGCGAATTGCGTCACTTGTATCTATCGCTGTCGGAGCTGCTGAAACATTTCTGGAACTGCTTTCCACCCACCACCGAAGAGCTAGAGGCGAAGCTGCAGCGCATGCACGACACCCTGCAACGTTTTAAAATGGCCAAACTGGTGCCATTTGAGGTAGGCTTTGCATCCGTTTAATGCCGTCCAAATATCTATAAATGGTTGTTCTTCCTTAGAATCGTGCGATGCATGAGCTGTCGCCGCTGCGCTCCTCACTCACACAGCACATGAACCAGCTGCTGGGTACTGCCAACTCCAAATTTGTCACCTGGAAGGAGCGCAAGCTGCGCAACAATAGATAGCAGGAACCCCCCGCTGTGGGTGAACTCGAGCTTATGCCACTCACCTCACAAACCATTATTATAGAGTAGGAAACATAGCGATAAGTGAGCGGAAAGCATTGGAATAAATCATTACTTGAAATCAGTTGGAACTCTGTTTATCTGTTCACTCTGTTTAATCAATTCAATGTACTCTTTGGCAGCGTATACACGTGAGCCAGAACTGGCAGTTATTAGCAGCTAAAAGATCTGAATGCTAACCAATCGAAGCAAAGCCAATCGAAAGATATTTATAGAATTACGCTGCGTGGGGGTTGCTCGAAAAGGGGATTACCAAAGCGATTGTCACGATGAAATATAATCCCTTAGGGCATCTACAACGCTATGAAATGCTAGAATCGTTTGTTACAGTTTGAACTGCATTTAACCAATTCGGGTCGACCCAAATTGTGTTCTCGGTATGTCTATTCTGGATATTAATTAACAGCTTCTTGGCCACGCACCTTTCGTGGCCGTTTGGGGCCGTTTCGAGGGCGGCCAGCCAGTCGAATTTGAAAGTTGAAGAGCGTAGCATCGATCGATGAATGCTATGTACAAATATTTAAACAATTCGCAATGGCTGCTGTGGAGTCTGCTGTCTCCCATAATGAACTGGCAACCAGCGAACTCTGCTCTTTTGTACACCACAAACTCTGAGTTTGGGGTAACTAAGCCTCAAGTTTAGCTACTGCCAGTTTGATATGTAAATCGGTTTCCGTTTCGCAGATATTTATGGCCATATCGGTGCCCATTGGTCTGCCGCATCGCAATGTCTTCTTGTCGTACAATTATGAGTTTAATTATTATCAGCCGGAGCATGTCTACAAGTATCCGCCCATTCTGGTGAGTATTTTCGTGTGTGGCTTGTGTCGTGAGTCTTTTGTTTAAACTTCGCTCCTAGATGGGCGACTATCAAGACTCCTATCTGACGTATCCCACTTCAGGGCGTGAGGACAGCGGCAGGCATTGCCAGAACTGCACTGAGCGCAGGGATGAGCAGATGGACACCAGCAGCAGCAGCAGCAGCAGCGGCAGCTCCAACTCCACAGCGGAATCACGCGGCAAACGTTCCCTGTCGCTGATGAGTCGCTCCATTTTCTACTTTATGCTGAGGGACAAACTGCAAAGGTGCGTGCCGCGTGCTCTGGGCCATCTTGTGATATTTCTTCTAATGCTAATTTATGTTCGCACAGATCTGGCTACCCAGCCGATGCCTGTCTGCTGCGCATGATATGCGAGACGAATGCCTCGCAGCTGGGCGAAGTGAATGGCTTCTTGGGCAGCCTCCTACACATTATATTCACGTAAGCCAAGGCTCTAAAATACTCTTTAAATGAGGTTTAACTATGCCCCTTTGCAGTCCCAGCAGTTCCAAGGATGAGCATCTGTCGGAAGAGTTCTACCAGGCCGAGTGGGATGGTCGCCATAGTGGGGAATGCAGCGGCTACAGCGCCAATTGTGAGGCGAACATCTTGGACCTCATCTCAGTGCCCGTGGAGCAGGCGCTGAGCGATATTGTAAGTGGGCGTAGAAGAAAATAAACTAGAGTACAGCGTCTGCAGCGTCTCTTCTCTGTCTCTGTCTCTGGGTGTTGGGGATTACTTATCCAATTAGCGGACACTCTCACCGCACTTGCTGTTGTGTAGCCAGCGCCAATTGTGGCCCAGTCGCTGGCTGAACACCGTGCAGGTCTATCGTGTATATAAACATGCTCTCGACTGAAGCTCTTCGGACTCCGCTGGGCATGCTTGTCCTGCTGCTGACTGTCTTGGATACCGCCGACACCCATGTGGCCTTCACATCCTCCAGCACACATGGCGTGAGTGCCGCTACAAATAGCTGAGATCACTGCTCTACATTGGCTCTTCTTTATCCTTAGATCTTTGCGGCACTCGCTGTGCCCCTGGAGATTCCGCATCGCAACGTTTTTGTGTCGTACAACTTTGAGGCCAACTACAATTTACCCGCCAACTGGGGGAAGTTTACACTATTTGTGAGTGCATTGTTTGGGGCTATAAAATGCCGCATTTACCCTCACATTAGCGTACTTTTTGTGCCCCAATTAGCAGCTCTTGAAGCTGGCATTAGGGCAAAGCAAACATACGCTGATAATGGAAGTTGGTTCTTGATTCTCTTTTTTTGTTAGCAAAACGGTCCCATTGAGTCGGAGGAGCTGGAGGTGGAGGCAGCTCCAGAAGATGAAGAAGCAGAGGTGGAGTCTGCACGGAAGATAAAAGGGGATTGCCAGAACTGTACCAGCGAGCAGGAGGCGGTAGAGGGGACTGCCACAGAGCAGGAGACAGCAGAGGAGACTCCCATTCATCCATCCCGTCAAAGTCGCGCTCTGATCACACGCTCCAACATCTATCGCATATTCGTGGACAAGTTGCAAAGGTAAGCCACAGCATGCACAGAGTTTCAGCCTTGATCCTTGATCCCACTTGCAGAAGCGGCTTCCAGGGCGAGGCCTGCCTGCTGCGCCTCATCTGCGAGACGAGCGCCGCGGAGCTGAACGAGCTGAACGGCGTTTTGGGCAGCCTCATGCATGTGCTCTTCAGGTGCGTTGAGGTTTAATTCCTCTCCTCTCCGTTAATTGTTGCCTTAAACATTTGCAGTCCCAGCACTTCGGAGTCGGAGCAGCTGCCTCTGCGCTACTATCAGGCGGAGCACGATGGCTGGCACGACAGCTGCCACCACTACCATCCAGACTGTGGGGAGAGTGTTCTGGAACTGATATCGGAGCCCTTTGAGACGATTCTGCAGCGAAAGCATCACATGTAGTGCCTGAAAAACAAAAATAAAAGCAACTGCCAACCGTTTGGCCTGATTCGTATTTCTCGCTTTTCAATTAGCAACTTTCGCTGCCAGAAACAAAGAACTCAGAGCCAAGCCAGAGCCAAAGGTTCTTTCATAATTGGATTATCACTTCTCGCGTACATGGAGAAAGGTCTGTGGGTTATCTCCTCAGTCTTTGTGGTTCTGTGGCTCAGTTGGGTGTGCGTCGAACATCATTGCAGATGGACTGGCCGTGGATGCTTTGGGTTTTGTGCTCTGTCCCTGGCATACAATCTCATTTTGTGTGGAATACGGGAGGCGGTTCTTCGGTGAGTTGCGGGCTTTATCGTTTCCTGTTCTAATTCTACGATTTGGCAGCTCTTTGTGGCCCTTGCCTTACCGCTGGAGCTGCACGATAAAGTCTTTTTGTCCTACAACTTTGAAGTTACCTACCATCTGCCCAAAACATGGACAGACAAGCCGCCAGTGCTGGTAAGTTTCCATTGGAGAGCATGCAGCTACCGTTACATGTACCCCACTCCCCTTTAGCGCCATGGAAATGGCACAAATGCTGATTATGCACTGAGTGACTACGATGGACACCAGGGACACTATAGGCCCGGGGCAGATTTTGATGATTATTACGAGGATTACGAGGGACACAAGCACCATAAGAAAAAAAAGAAGAAAAAGCCAGCAAGTGGATCAGTGGCTGTTCTGAAGCCACCAAAGCACAAACACAAAAACAAACACAAGAAAAACAAGAAGAAGAAAAAGCCACCAAAGGAGGAAGATGATGGCGATGACTATAAGGACTTTTTTGAGGGATATCCGCTGGATGGCGATGGTAATCCTGTGGCCCGATATCGCCATGAGAGATCCTTGCTGTCGCGCACCAAGTTTTACGAGATTTTGAGCCGCCGCTTCGAACAGTAAGTGAAAGTGAAACCCGAACGTGCCCCCTAATGAAACCCAAATTAACCCTCAAAACCCCCTACTGTTGTGCAGGCACGGCTTCGGCTCCGGTGATCAGTGCCTGCTGCGGCTGATCTGCGAGGCAAACAACTACCAACTGGGGAACCTCAATGGAGTGCTGGGCAGCCTGGTTAACGTCATGTTCTGCCCCAGCAGCTCTCGCTACGAGTCGCTGCCGCAGCGGTACTACAACGCCGAGCTGGCCGGGCGGCGAGGCAGCTGTGAGGCATACCACAGCCAGTGCCGGCAGAGCTTACTCGATCTGATCACGCAATAAAAGTTGAGTCTCCCACTCTCCACTTTATTTAGGTGTTGTTCATGAAGCTCTTGAATGCGGGCCAGAAGCAACTCCTCGTGTAGGTGCGCGCCTCCTGGCACATTTTGTTGTTGCGCTGCCAGTGGGCCGCGGGGCAGTCCCGCATCAGCCGAAAATAGGCGCAGAGACTGTAGAAGAGGGCGTGCCTGTCGCAGGCATCACTCTGGCGACTCACACCGGTCAGCTCCTGGTACTTGTTGTACACCAGCGTGGAGCAATTGCCAAAGTTCGTGCGGTACGCATCGACAATGGGCTGCTGATTGAAGGCGCGCTGCAGCATGGGGCGCACGCGGTCGAGTCTTAGGCGGGAGCCCTGCAATACCGAGCTGGCATTAAAAATGCAGTCCAAACGGCACTACAGAGGGGAGGGAACAACAGTTAAGTCCATGCAATGAGATCTGTGTTGGATAACACTCACGCTTGGCTGCTGTCCAGAGTCGCGGCACTCGCTGTGGTAGACAGCCCAATTGGCCATAGGAGCGGGACAACAGATTTGCACATTCTGTGGGGGGGGATTTAAGACACGGTGTGTGTGGGGTTAATTTGTGTTTCATTTGGGGGCTCATTTGGGTTGCAGTTTCACTTACTGCTCGAAGCGGCGACTCACCTGCACAGACTTGGGCGCTGCCTTGCACTTGGCTGCCTTGAGGGCTGCTGGCAGTGTCCCATAAAGCACTGAGAGCAAAATGACAATCCAACGGCTCCACATGGCTGCCAATGAATGAAACAATTAGCGAAGGGAATCGTGTACGATTTGGTGTTGCGTGCGGCAGGCAGCGAGATGACATGGCCGAGATATCTGTGTAAATTATTTCATTTTGAGCCAAAAACAAATACCAAAAAACTTTTTCAAAATTAATTTTAAAATGTCTGTTTTGTGGCTATTGATGTTGAGCGGCTTGCAACTGCTGCTGGCACGCGGCGAGGTCCTGGACATGGCCAACTGCTCAAAGCTGATGAACACCCAAAAGCTGGACTGGTGCTGTGGCAGGAATATTCTCAGCATGTTTGCCTTTATAGGCAGCAACTGTACCCCCTACTTGAATGATTATGGACCAGTTCGTAGTGCTCTCTCTCTTCCTCTCTCCTGCTAATCAAGGCTGCCTTTACAGTGCCGCTACGATTGCCTCTTCCATCACTGGGACATACGCGACCAGTTGCAGTTCAAGCTCAAAATGCCGGAGCTCTTCGTGATGATTACGCGACTGTACAGCCCGCTCAATGGTTACCAGAGCTATGGCCTCGCGCTGAAAAAGGCCTACGAGACGTGTGATCGTTTGGGCACCAAGTACGCCGACTTTATATTGCTCTACTCGGAGCATCTGCAGCAGACGCTGGGCCTGGCCAACTTCACTGCGAACAATCCGAACAACTGTTCGCCCTTTTCCATGTACCACGCGCAGTGTGCGGCCATTTATTTGACACTCGACTGTCCCGTGAAGTACTGGGAGAAGGAGGAGCAGTGCAGCATACTCCGAGAGACTGTACGCTCGTGCGTAAGGATATTCGATGAAAGCACACCAGAGAGAAGTGAACCACAGACAAGGAGTGCGGGCAGTCGACTGTACCTAGCCCTGGGAGCCCCACTGTACATTCTTTTTGTTGTTCTAAATCGTTTTGTGTAATTGCGAGCCATTGGTGTGGTGTCCAGACACTATAATTGCTGGCCTGTCAACAGACTTTGAACTGCCGAATAAAAATCCAGGCACATGCTGGGCACGAGACCTTCACACGCCGCAAATGACGATTTGCTCGATTAATTGGTCGCCAAAGCAGCACTTGCTGGCTCACTGGAGTTATAAATTAAGCGGTTATGCCCCGGCACAGTTCAGACTGACACGAAGAATGGCTAAACACAGAGCTCTGCTGATCTGCTGCTCGCTGAGCGCCACTCTACTGCTGGTGGGTGCCGTTCCAGCTCCCGCTGTACCGGATGTGGACTGTGCCAGACGGCAGGATTTTAATGTGAGTGTAAGTTTAGCTGGGAGAGACAGGAGCGTCACAGCTGAGCCACTTGTTCATCCACAGGCCATCAAGGGTTGCTGCAGCATTCCCACCTTTAATTTTGAGGCATTCCGCAAGCAGTGCGGCAAGCACATGCCCGACGGTGGACCACGCGTGTCGCCTGTAAGTTTTCTCTGAAGTTTTCTCCGCTACATCTTCCCGCCTAATCCTAACTCTCTGCCCTGGCAGTGCCTCTATGAATGCATCTTCAATGCCACTGGCACACTACGCAACTCGGAGGTGAATGTTGCCAATGCACGCAACATGTTGCAGCGTTTGTTGGGCAACAATCAGGACTTTCTCGACGTCTACTTGGCTGGCATGTTGCAGTGCTCCGGCACCGTGGGGGCCATGGTGAGTGCCAGCAGGCCTCGTCAGGAACAGTGCTCCCCGGTGCCGCTCTACTATGGCATTTGCACCACAAAGTACGTCTTCAGCTACTGCCCCTCGTCCAGCTGGTCGGACACGGAGCAGTGCGAAACGGCGCGTCTCCAGAATATCAATTGCCCCACCATGCGTGCATCACGTGGTGGTGGTGGCACCACCAGAACCATTGCAAAAATTACCAAATAAAATCAAAATACTTAAACCCAAATGGCTCGGACATTCAATTCCCATCCGATGGCTGGACAGCAAATGGTGCAAGGCGAATGGCCCCGGCATCCGGTGGTGGGGTGATGTATAAATGGCACTTGGCTGTCCAGTGAGCCACCAGAAGATGCCTGAAATGCTACACCAATTTGCGCTATTGCTGCTCTGGCTGCTGTACGGGCCAGGAGCCGGTGAGCCGGACTGCAGCCAACGACCCGACTTGAATGTGAGTATGGACGACAACAGTCCCCCGAGAGCTTAGAGTCTCAGCTCTCCTGCTTCTAGGCGCTGAAAAACTGCTGCAAAATGCCTTTGCTGCAGCTGTCCAAATACAACTCACAGTGCGGTCAGTATCTGCTCACTGGAGCTCACATAACACCCGTGAGTATCCTGATACTTGCTGCCACAGAGCAACTGCTGCCATGAGACTCTCTCCTACAGTGCAGCTTTGAGTGCATTTTCGAGGCGGCAAAAGTCTTGAACGGCACTCGTTTGGTAATGGAAAATATACGCAAAATGATGGAAGGCATGCTGGAGGGACACCAGGAGTTTGTGGACATCTACACGGAGGGTTTTGGTCACTGCTCCAGCGAGGAGCAGAGCATGATCAAGAGCCTGAAACGTCGCCGCATGCACCTCACCGGCAAGTGCTCCTCCATGTCGGTTATGTATGGGCTGTGTGCCCATCGTTTTGTCTACAGAAACTGCCCGCAGAGTGCGGCCAGCAAGAGCACCAGCTGCACCGAGGCCAGGGAGTACGGTAAACACTGTGAGTGAAGCCAAGAAGTCCCAAATAAATGCACAATTTTCGCAGAATTTATTCTACAATCAATTGAAGATCACATCCCGCCAGGTGGGCCGTTGGGCGTGGTCCAGCAGCTGCTCCCCATTTCTGGCATTGCAGCCATGCACATCCATATCCTGATCACTGACTGCTTCCAGCTGGTTGTCAGCCGTGTTTGCTGCGATGTTTGCTTTATGTTTCACAAATAATCTCTTGGCTCTGGGCTGGTTCACTCACCCAACTCGTCCAAGCTCAAGCCCAAGCGCTGAGCGTGCTGCATGAGTGCCTTGAGCAGCAGTTCCGTATCCACAATGCCATCGCGCTCAACGCTCTGAAACGAGACGAGCAGCTCCTCATCCTCATACGCTTCCTCATCCTCCAGCTGCTGCAGCTCAGTGTCCAAATCGTTGTCTGCTAAATCGGTCTAAACGGGGGGAGAATTATTGATTTGAAGTGAGGCTCAGGCTGCAGCAAAGTCACCTCTGGTCCCACCACAAAGTCCTCAAAGGCAGCCTGCACCACTGCAGCAAGGAGCAGGCAAAGTGCGAGTGTTGTCAGCTGATTCATGGCTGCTCGGCAGAACAACAAACTTTGACTGTTCGTAAATAATAATGGAAACAGCAGCCGGGCATCCATTTTGCACGCTCAATTTGCTGGCTAACGAAACAGAAATCCCCCCAAAAAACAAATCGCAAGCAGAGATTAAACTTAATACAAAACTTTTACTACAACATTTCTGGGGTAACAATTTCTAGCTGCTGGGCAGCGGCACATGCGGCAGGGGATTGCATTGTGTGGCAAACTCTTTGGCCTGGTTGCACGTTTGCTCGTTCTTCCACATGCGCGCGGGGCAGTTGAGGAAGGTCTCGGCATTCACGCAGCTGTAGAGCATGCCGGCAAAGGGCGAACAGCCATGGGGCAGCACCTTGTAAGCCTCAATATTGGATGCTATCATGTGGCCCTTGACTGAGGGAGAGAGATTCAATTGGGTTTAAAGCAGGAGCAGACGTATACGCACTGCTGCCCAGGCAGGTGTCAAAGGAGCGCACAATGTGCGCCACCATTTCCTGATCCCGCTGATGGATATGCTGCTCCAGATATTGCTTCACGCGTTCCATGCGAATTTTGCCATTGAGCAGGGCGCCGGTCTCGCGGTAAATGCAATCGGGATAGCACTTTGAGAGCAGAAAGGGGAACAGAAATGAATGCAGGATTCTCCACTCTCTCAACGGAAAGACCTACCAAATGCGTGTTGCTGGGATACTTGGCATTCGCAGACTTCAGTTGGCTAACATACTTGTGACACTTTTGTGGCACATCTCCCATATCCAATTCGGGTGCGCGGCAGCACGAGTTAATGTCCTGCAAAAGCAAAACTTTGCTCCATGATTGGATTCCTTTTTTGTTCTTTTATATTTGCTACTTACAAAATTATTAAAATTCGGCGGCGCTGTGCAATCGTAGGCAGTCTGTGGCTGTGCCTGTGCCCGTGCCTGTGCCTGCCACAACACAAAGGTCAGAGTGCACACAAAAAGCAACAACTGTTCGGTCATCTCGATGGGTTGACGGCCAGCGAAATTATGAAATTTGTTTAAGCTGCCGTCACACGCTTTTATAGCGAAATAAACTGACCAAAAAGTGATTGGGTTAATGAGGCTGTAATGAAATCGGGTCGTTTGGCATTGTCTGTCCGTTGGTTCAATGCGTCCGTTGAAGGCTGTAAACAAACATCAGCCACGACGACCCGAGCCGCTCGTGCGTGAACCACAAAATTGGGGAAATACCAGCAGAACAATCTGGAAAAGCAATGAGGGAGAGAGAGTAGCGATGAATCTCAGGTGAGGTATCCTTTGACTCTGCTAATTAATGCGGCGTGCAATTAATGAGCTCGCACATGAAAAGAAAGCTGCTAAGTAATTGCTGGCAGCCGCCACACTCTCTGCTCCTACTTACTGTGTCGTCTGCTCAGTGAGTTCTTACTTCCAGCGTATGCTCTTAGCCACTAAGCTGACGATGATGGGCGGCAGTCACGCCGCGCAAGGACTTAGCACAGTGTGGAGCGCTGTGATTGATGCCACGTTTTTTTCCCCCTTCTTCCAAAAGAATTTAATAGAAAAATCTGCAACAAGCGTTCTTGCGATAGTTTTGCTGCTCTGCTGCTGTGAATGGAAAAACTTTGACGTATTTTTTCGGCACTTCAAGGGGAAAAGTACGAAAGAGTAACGTCCTCATCGCTGGCAAACACAAAAGGTTTGGGTGAACATTTAAATTGAATAAAAAACCACTCGAAATGCGTGCGACATTAAATTTGCATGCGACAGGATAAGTGCTTTAAAGCGAACAGGGAAGACACAAAGAGAGAGAGAGACACAGAGAATGGCAAAGAGAGAGAGTGGCGGAGAAAGCATTTTTTAAATTGGAATTTAAATGCTTTTGAGTGGCAGTTGACATTAGCATTTGTTTGAAAATCAAACAGTCGGGATAAGGATGTTGCCAACACCACACGCCCCACCCCTTGCGCGCGGGTGTGTGTGTGTGTGTGTGTGTGTCAAACACATGCCAGCAGGCAGCAGGCAGCCCGCAGCCGCCGTCTAAATGTTTATCATTGTAATATCACAGCTAAGACTCGCATGGAAAAGCTGCTATAAATATGTAAAAAAAGTAAAAGGAAAAGGAAAACCTTTTGTCTGTTGTTCCTGCTGCGAATTTAATTTCACGAAATTTTCGGGAAGCATCCATCCCCATGCGAACGGAGCGCCACTTATTGATATTTCAATAGCTGTCAGGCTCCACTCGAGTTTAATTTGATTAGCCGCACATGCTGCTCCACACCTGCAATTAAATTCAACGTGGCAGGGACTTCAAAGGGGATTTGGGGAAAACCGAAAACCGAAAACCGGAAACCAATTCCGATACAGTTGGACCTAAGCAAACAGAACAGACAGTGAGCCGGAGCATCAGGCAGCGAAATGCTCAGCAGTGGAAATATCGTAGAGCACGTCAAATATTTGCATAAATCAAATAGGCAGATTTTCGGGCATTATAACTGCCATCCACAACGGCATTCACCTGTTGCCTAGCGTCGAAAGCTTCCATGTGGAACGCAGCTTTTGGCGCAGAGCTTTCGCACTGTGTGGACTGCGAACGCGTTTCGCGCCTTTCTTTTGGTAAGAACTTCGGCAGAATGTTGGCATGTGATTCCTGCGGGCATCCGCCGCGACTCAGACTCAGTTATCAACTGGATGCGAGCGAGTGCGGTTCTTGGTTCTTCTTCTCTGTCTCTGGGCAGCTGCCAGCGCGTAAAGGATAACAGCGATAAATGGCAAAAATATTAGCAAAAAATTAATATAATTCAAATTTGTACGGAAAGAAATTCCAATTCAATGTCGCCCAAAGGGCTTACAGTTATTGTGCGAGTGTGACAAATAATCCTGCATACAAATGCGAGTGTAAACCCCAAAAGAAAAACCATAAAGTTGTGCTCGCTGTGTGTGTGGTGTGTGTCCATCCATAACCAAGGCAACGAACGACAACTAGACAAACACACAGATACACACACATACACACACACACGGACTGATGGACAGCCATTGACTGGTGTAAGCGGAGACTCAGCGCCCAACCACCCGCACAAGAAAGCAGCTCAAACATCATCATTTGGCAGCTGAGAAGGCGTTAAACACATTTAAGCCGGGTCAAGTAAGTGGCTATCCTGGCCCAAGGGACAAAGGACACAACCCACGGCACACAGCTCATTCTGTGGTCAGTGGGAAAATTCCGTTAAACTCGGCAATCTGCAAGTGTAAAATATAAGAAAAAGTAAGCCCCAAAAGGATACAAAAGGCGGCCAGCGAAGACAAGGAACAATGTAAGCGGGCTTCCTGTGCAGCCCACGGATATGTGTGTGTGTGCTGTGTGTGCAAAAAGAATGGCAAACAATTTGCGGTTAATTAAAACGGCACAAACCACACACACACGCGCACACTAGTCTGGGGGGAAAACAATGCATTGAGGCCAATCCATTGAGGCTGCGCTTTCAGCAGAGTTTTCAATTGGCTTCAATGTTGGTTTAGGTGTTTGCCAAATCGATTGGGCAATCGATCCCCAGCCATAGTCCAGCCAATAATCAGCCAGGAACTTGTTGCCCCTTTTCGCTTTAATGGACTTCCTTTCACGCTGCTGAGAACGTGCCGTAAATCTCGTGAAAATCTCTCTCACAAATAATTCGACACACTTGTAATGCATTCAACTCGAGTTTTTTTTTATTGAGCCAATAAATAACAGATTTAGTCGAGCAGCTTCTGGCTGTTGGTTTTGTTGTGGCTTGTTTGCCTTTTGTGTCCAATATTTATGGATTTATCTGGCGATGCTGAAATCCCTCACGTAACTGCAGCGACCTGCACGTGCCACAATGAGCGGAAAGCCGTTAAAGGTTCAGACAATAAAATGCCACACTTGTTGGGCAATCGGTTGTGACTTGTGCTGACTTCAGCAGCAGCGGAAATGGCTCGTCCAGCAGCTTCTTACCACTTGCCACCGTTCGGGGCGGCCATGTGGTTGATTGGCCCCGCAGGCTACATAAAAGTGTGGCACACCCCCACTCCGTGTGTGTGTCTGCGATTACTTTCCGATATGAAACAATGTTTTCTCTCTCGCTTAAATGAGCAATTTGATTAAAAAACTTTCTATGCAGGCAGGCAGCGGGGGCAGCCTTTCAAGGCCAGGCAGCGTCCCACCCACCCACACATCGCAGCTTATGAATTTAACATGTTCTTTTGTTGCTGCTTCGCTGCCTCTCTGCCTCGCTGCCTCGCTGCTGTCTATAAAATTGAATGAGCAACATTAATGAGCACAGAAAGTGGCACTTGGCAGGCCTTGTCCATGCAACACATTCCCCCAATTACGAGCCGCAAACCCGCAACTTCAATGTGGCACTCGCCATTCTTGCAATTCTCTAAAGAATATAAGAAAATACAAACATTTATAAGCCTTAAAGCAGCAGCCGGAAATTGCAGAAAATTCTCACATGAGCGAGACACAGAAAAAGTGGCCACAGTGGCAGGGAGGGGCATTCGTTGCTCGTTTGCCCATTTGTGCGTCGCCTCGGGCAAATCCATTGTGTGCAATCGTACGAGATTAGATACAATCTTCTATAATGGCAAAACGGAGAGAGGGAATACAGTGGGAGCTGGGCCAACCACATTCCCCGGTGGATCTCCTTTTGGGTTTGTGTCTGTGTCTGCGTCTGCATTTGATTTGTCCATCTTCATCTACATCACAGGCGGGTTTATGTCCTGGGTCTGCTCGCTGGCTTGGACTGGACATTCATCACGTTGACTGCCCATAAATGAGATTTGTCCATGCGCGCTGTCAGAATATTTTTGCATTTGTTTCTGCACTTGAAATCCTCTCTTTTTGGTTTCTTACTGTCTGTCGGATTTAATTGAAATCAAATATGCAATTAGCCAAAGTTCTGCCCATAATTCAGGCCGCCTCAACTGACTTGGCAATTTTTTACTGCGGCATTATTTATGAGGTAATTAGAGCCGCTGTTCTGTGTGTTTCCC